AAAAGAAACCCCTGCTAAAAAAAACAAAAAAAAAAAAAAAAAAAAAAAAAAGAATGAGACCTTCAGACAATAAAATGCAAGAGAATGACAATACCTCATCCCCAGATAGAATAGGATTGCTCTGTGTGTAGTAAAATAAAGATGCCATCCATGCTGAGTTACTGAATGACAAAGCAAGTTGCATAGCTCCATAAAGCTCCTATTAAATAAAGCTTATGTGTATAAAGTATGACCAGGAGGCATTATATGTCTGTTTATTTCCATGTTTGTGTTTACTTTGAGAATGAAGAGAAGTTTCTGTATATGAAAAAGTTGTTCTGCATGGTTTCGTTCAGGCAGAGAAGTAAAGTAAAAGGGGTTGGCACTTAAGAAGAAGATAATGAATGACACAAGCTGGACTCCTCACCCCTGGACTCCTCATCCCTGACCCCGAGGAAGGTCACTGCAGCTTTGTCCCACCTGGCATGATGATCTCTGGGAATCCCAGCTTCCGGGCCACCACAGTGGTTCTGTCCACTAAGTGAGGATAGTCTTTGCGGATCTGAGTGATGTCACCCACCAGCATCTTCATGGTCACCCACAGGCCTAGAAGGGAACATTCACCATGAACACTCACATCTCTGCAGCCCTCTCTCTGCCTCTCCCCACCTCTCCCCCATGCCTCCTGTAGGAGACTACTAAAGTAACAGATACACTCACATATGCAACAACCCAGCCCCATGAGGCTGTACAGTTAGCATGCTTGGTTATAGCCATGTCATCCTCTGATAATTACCCCCATCTCTGATCCCAGGTCTTCTTAAAGAAGACAGATATCAGCCATCTGTCTCACAGGATTTGGGGAAGAATGAAATCAAATGTGTAACTTAAAGTGCCTGACACACAGGGCCTAGCAGCTCCTTTCTTAGTTAGGCATGAAGGAAACGCCCATCCTATGCTTCAGTGGGTGGTCTGTATTGCTCTTAGGTGTCCCACTGTACTGTCTGGATCCAGGACTTGGATCCATTTACTAATGCATCAGAGGCAGGTGGGCTGGAGTAAGTTCAGCATACTTGTATTCTGACTGACTCCATACCTTGTCCTCCACTGTCCCCCTTGGAAGCTGTGACTTTGCCCAGAAGGCTATGAAGGAAATCGTTCTCAGCTGAGACCCTGGAAAGGAAAGGAGAGCACAAACCATCACATGGTACCCCCATGGAGTTTCCAACTTGTGTCCCACATTGGCACAGGGAGCACTCCAGCATGACTTAGGTGCATAGTCAGCCTGCCTGGGCAGCTCTTCTCAAACTGCATGGCTCTGAAATCTGAGAAAAACCAATGAATGCAGCCACAAGTAGTAGGCACTGATGTGACAGAAAAGATCCCCAAGTCTTTGACATGAATGTCTTCTCTGGAAGGTGACAAGAACTTCAGTTGCTCCAGTAAGACCTAATCACTAGCCTTGACTTGACCAGGGTCACTGGCCCAGTTACCTGGACATCTTTGGGGGTGCTTAATCTTGACATTGCTCTCACTGTGGAGTCATTTTCAAACAAGGAAAAGATAATTACCTTCTTGTCCTTGCTTCTCCTGTCACAGATATACATGTGGCTTCCATGGAGGGGATCCTAACGGGCTGCTCCTTCACAGCTCTGTGGCCCCTGTTACACTTATAATTAAGGCTTTAAGCTTTGGTTGATTATCTGCTTAATTGCCCATCGCTCCAGGAAAGCAGGTCACATTGACCCTGTCCACCATTTCACCCCATGCCTGGCACTCTTCCTCGGGGCTGCAGTAAAGTTTCTGGATTGGTAGCAGGTAGCAGGTCTCCTGGGAGGCCCTGCCAGCCTACCCCCTTACTAAGGGACAACCAGTTTGCCCATGGCTGCAGAGAAACGGGGATGGGCAGCTTGGAGAGACGCAGGAATGACTTACGGGTGAAAGGGAATAAAATGCTGCTTTTCCTCATCACTCTCTGCTTTGCCCTTGATGATGTCTGTGATGTCCATAACTAGAAAGACAAAGAAAGTGAACTAATAGTTAAGTCAGGCACAGGTGATGAGAAGGGTGGGTTGTAAGGCAGGAGAGAAGGGAACAAACATTGGAGGGAGGGTCCCAGGATGTGGCAAAGGAAATGGATAGATGGGTGGCAACAGAGTTAAGCAACAAGATTCTTGTTGGATGTGTAAACTGAATCTCTTTTGTGCTCACAAAACCCATGGGCAAGGAATCTCTGTAGGATCTGAGCATCTAATGACATAGATGCTCTTTTCATGACTGTGCTCATGACACAAACATAGAATTGTTGAACCCTTGAACCTTGCCAACTGACTTCATAGCCAATATACAAGTGTACCAAGGATGACTGGAAAGCCAGAGGACATGTGATGGCAAAAGGAAGACTCTCCCAAGGTGACAAATGGGTGAGATGCCGGAATTGGAAAGGATTCATGATTTAAAACATAATTTTATGATTTTGAAATATTTGTTTTAGTATTTATTCATATATATGTATCTCTGTGTGAATGCACATGTATATAGGAGCGTGTGCAGAACTCTGAAGGTATCAGCTACCCTGGACCTGGAGCTATAGGTGATTGTGAGTTGTTGGATGTGGGTGCTGGGAACTGAACTCTGGTCCTCTGGAAGAGCAGCAAGCACTCTTAACCACTGAGCCATCCCTCCAGCCCTCCCCCCAAATTTATCTTTTAGTAATAAGAAAAATACTGGCATATCCAATTGCTATGTCACAAGTATTTAAATTGTCTTTTGAGAAAAATATACTTTAGTTGAAATAAAGTGGGTTAATTAAAAAAGAAAATATATTAGGTAAATAATAATGCCTTCCACTAATAGCCAAATAGCACATAAACCACAAAAGTGTGGCAGGAGTGAGGAAGCTTTGGGTGTGCTCACAGCTATTGCCAGGGGAAAGGTGGTACTGCTTGGCTCCCGGCCGCACACACTCTGAAGGTCCGTTTTCATCTGGAATTCAGACGGATGGCATGACTCACTCTGTGTAACTGCATTTCCTATCCTGGATATTTTTTTCAAAATGATTTGCTCCCCATAATTAGATCCAGCCGCATTGTTCTTCCTTTTTCACAAGCGCTAGGGAGCTGAGGCGCCAACTGCTCAGACTTCGCCGTGCTCCCGGGTGCTCTGGGCTAGACCTTAGGACCACATTATTCGCTGAGCTTATCATAAATCTGGACTCAGTCACCAGTGACTTCAGTTAGCCACCACAAATGTAGTTATTAAAGGCTGCTCAGCCTAGGTTTTGCAGGGGTGAAGGTGTAGAAATAATCTTTAAAATTCAGCCATATAAAACGTGTGCTATAATAAAATTTAACTGCAGACATCAGTCATCACCTGCCACCCCAAAGGGCCTCCTCAGCCCCTGGGTACACTTCTTGGTATTAGTGTCCTTAAGATCCATCTTCCCAATTCGGACTATTTGGCAAATCAAGTAAATCTTATCCCTGTTGAGGTCTTTGTTTCCAAGATCCTGTAAGGACAGGAAAGAAAACAGTTACAATTCCGTATGTTTAATAAAAAACAAGTGAAATAGGAACAAAGCAGTGGTCATTTCTAATGAATGTGTTTACCACTGTAGTGTCACCATCAATCTTAGGAAAGGTAGAAACTGAGTTCACCACACCCTTTGGACAGATAAGGAAGGCAAGACCCAACAGAGACCCTGAGTGGAAGGACTCTATAGACTCGATCCTTCACCTCCTCATCTGGTCCCTTATGTGCCTCTAAGAGGATGCTATTTTTGCAACCCCTTTTCCCTGTAAGAACACTTCCTCTGGGTCATGACCTTGGTCCTTGGTGACTCTGGGATGGGGATTAGTAACAGGCAGCATCACAAAGGCATGCCCTGAACATCTCAGCATCCTACTGTAGTGTATGTAGGTTTCCCATTTTCATTGGGCTTCCTGCCAGCTAGGATGAGCTGGGGCAGAAACAGCAAGACATGCTATTATGTTGGCTTAGACAGTCAACCCTGGGCCTTCCCTTGCTGGGGAGCAGCTTACCTTCTGAGTTAATTCTCTTGTGGGCATATGTTCAGGGGACAAGCTACCAGCTCACATCAGAGCCAGGCCCAGACGGCGCAGCTAGCCCCAGCCTCTAACTGTGAGTGGTGTGAGAAAAGAATGCAGAGGAGGGAATCTCTGGAAATAAGACAAGGCTCTGACATGGACTATATCTCCCTACAAGAACTGGGCTAGTTAAATGTCATGTGCTGATTTGGCTAAGCTACAATGTATAACTGGTCCAGCACTAGTCTCTATGTTGCTATGAAGGTATGGACCTCCTCAGTTGACTTCAATGAATGAGGTTCACTTCCATAACATCCATAGAACATGTTAAGGCCTTCCTAGCAAAACCTGAGTTTTCCTACAAAAGGAGGGATTCTGCTCAAAACTGTACTGTGCAAGTTTTGAGTTTCCAGCTGTCTTGCTTCCCAGCAGATTCAAACACCTATCTTCTAGATTGTAGCTGAAACCCCTGGGTCACAAAGGGCTGTCCTTTCACCAGCTGGCAGAGTGGACAATAGCTCCCTTATCACTGGGGTCACCCTGATGGGCAGGGAGAAAGAAAAGGCAGAAGTACAGCGGTAACCTAAGAAAGCCTGCTGCATCTGCACCCTCTCTGACCCTGAAGGACCTGCTGGACTCCAACCACTCCACTCTAGAATCCCCTGGGAGCTCATCTTTGGAAACCAAGCTGATTATTTTTTTAAATTTCTCATTCCCCAACAACTTTAATAGCTCCCTGTTTCCTACCCCATTAGTGCTCATCTTTCCAAGTTGACATGAAAGGGCTAGACATAATACACCCAGCTGTCCTCGCCAGCTGATTCCTCACTATTCTCTCTATTTTTATCCACAAAGATTGCTTTATTGCTCTGGAGATATACAATACTCTCTCTCTCCCTGGATCTTTCTTTCTAAACACACCTCCACCCCAAATGCCTGCCTTTTATTCCTCTGTACAATCAAGTTCTCTCCATGATTAACATTTCTGTCCCCTGTCATTTATAATGAACTCCATTTTTAATTACTTCTTGCCCACATCTAGGTTTTATCTTATATTTTTGAAATATTTGGACTTGTGTCTTTGGGAGACATTCAGGAGCCACTGAGGCCTTGACACCTAAAAGGTTTCTGCCAACATTGTTGCCAGATGTATGGTCTCTAGAACAAGGAGAAAACAAATGTCTGTTAAGTCAGGCAATCTATGAAGCTTTGTTATAGCAGTGCTGGCAGACTAATACACTAGATACACTTGTAAGGTTCTGAGACACCATCCCCTCTCCCCATACCCATGAAAAGATATCACTTGTCCTCAAAGGAAAATACAGTTCTTTAAGACCTGTTTGGCAAGATCCCTGGCCCTAGAGAATCTGAATATTCTATACACCACAGCAAACTGGCTGAACACATGCTTCACAGCCCAGGCAGAATTCTTCCAATGGTGTGTAAACAAGCAATGCTTTCTGAGAATATAGGTTCCAATGTAAGGCTGCCCCCAACCAAGTCACTTCTACTCTGGTCTTACAAAATTTCTACACTAGGGGAAAGCCAAATAATAGAACTTAAAATAAGCATTACCCGCTAAAACAACAGGTGTATTAGCATTGCCTTTCCCTTCCCAGTCCCAGTTCCTGAAGCTTCAGACTGGGCTAAAGCATAGGAGGCCTCAGGACATACCCCATTTCCCTACTGCAGGCCAAGGAGGGTAAATTCTTAGGCAGCAGATGGAGAAGATATCAGCAATCCACCAGACCCATATGTCATTTTCCCAGGCCTAAGGAGCCACAATCCTGACCCCAAATAAGAGACCAGAGACAGAAAATATCCAGAGGGTACAGGAAGAAGGCCAACTAGAGGAACAGAATCCAAGTC